ACTTTCCAGCCACCACATACATGTCGCTAATCTCGGCTTTGGTTTTAGTAAAAATGCATTATTCCTAAACAAAAACCAACTGAAACAAACTCTATAGAAGCAAACCAATACAAGTAAAGAACTACATGCACATGATCCCCAAAAGAATATTCTCGAAAAAGCTGCATACAATTTTGATCTTGCATAGTATCATTTAAACCAACATTATCATGTTGTTCTACTTTATTCAGCCCCAAGAGCCTCCACACTTCCTGACCACATCCACGGTCTAGCAGGATAACAAACTCTATTTTTCCAAGATAGTGGTTGTTGAGTTTATATCGATAACCTTTTTCACTTCCTACATTGATCAAATGGTGCACATGCAAATGCAAATGAAGTTGTCTAGTCAGAAGTATACCGATAAAAAATACAAGATCATAGGAGAATGTATGTTAAACCATGAAAAGAAATGGACTGGATAATTAATAACAGTTTAATAAAAGCTGAATATTAATTTAAAGCTCACCTCCATAATAGTTCTTCCACACGCTACTTGTGATGTGAAACGGATACTATCTGCATATAATTATGATACAATAGCATTCAATTAGAAAGCAGAAAGAACCATAAATGTTAAGTAACAACAAATTATCAAAAAATAAATAAATTTTCAAACGAGTAAAGAGAAATATTCTATATTCTTATGATTGACCCCTTCAAAAAATCCAACCAAGTTTTTTTTTTTCCTCAAAATCACTCAAGAACAAAAGATGATATCATAAAAACTTAACCCTCTCAAAATCTCCATGCATCACGATAGTTCGTCTGAGGGGTATTTTCGTAATTTGGACAAAGGATAGAACCGAAATTTCTCAAATTTCGAAGGGTAAAACTGTCTTTTGCCCTGAAAACCCTAACCCTCTCCCCTTCTGTGTTGCCGGCAACGGCCACTGCAGGGGGCGGGGGGCGGGGGGCGGCGCCGCCCCTGCAGGTGGGCGCCACCGCGGGCGCGGCACCCGCAGGAGCCGCTGCCTCGCGGCGCCTCTGCCCACGGGCGGCGCCGCACCAGCTGGCCAGCGCCGCCCGCTAGGGCTCGCTGCCTCCGCTGCTAGCGGCTCGCGTGCGGGCCCAGCGTCGGCAGGCGACGCCCTTGCGCGCGGGCGCAGTGCCCGCGCGCAGGTGGCCGCCGTGCCTGCGGGCGCTGCCCCGTAAGCTTAGAAAAAGTACTAGCCCCGTATGCTTACTTCTTTCTTGATTTCTTCTTTGATTGAGCGCGGTTCTGCAGGGGCGATCTAAGGCCTCTTTCTTCTTGTAGGTGCCTTCGCAGCAGTCCGTCGTTTCTTGAGAATCGGACGTTGCTCGCTCAAAGATCCTATTCCAATCATAAGCCGCTGCAACAGTAATGAAGCCTACACCGCGGAGCGTAGCTTCCGGCCTTCCTTTAAGCCTATAAATAAGGGCAGCAGTTTACTCATCTCTTTTGAGTCTTAGTCGGTTCTGTATCGATTGTGGCAGAAGGTTCGCCGAAACATAAAATAAATATTTTAAAATCAATCTATCGTACGAATAATCTGAGTCCGATATCATTGTTGAAAAATCTTTAAGACGAAATTAAATGCATAACGAAAGAATAAAAAATAAAATCGTTAATTCTCCATATGTTTATTCGTTGTCGTACGAAGATTGATACACAAAAATTCGTAAAACTTAAAATTATATATATAATAGATAGATTGTATATCCTGATGCCTCTGTAAATCTTTAGGAGAGGGTCAAGCGCCCTCCTCTCTAGCAGTGATTCACACAGTAAAATTGCGACGCTCCTCAAAACTCCAAACTAAATAGAAGTCCCTATCAAACCCTAATGAATCCTCCCCTATTGAGTATTGGATCTGCATCAAATTACCCAAACCTTTTTAGATTAGTAGATCTATATATTTAATAATCTATCATGGGCTTTTATTAGATCTCATCCATAGGATCCAATAATTCATGAGCTTATTGGATATCCAATAAGATAGATGCTCCCTCTAGGTCCAATATCGAGCTGGTCGTGAGTCATACATGTCAGAACTCCTTCTAGCTTAGTGAATTATTATCTCCATAATAATTCATTCGACTCATCGACTATGGATATACTAGACCACTATGCCGCAGTCCGCAGATAATACAGAAAAATCCAATTCATTGGATCTGATCACGTGATCTACACGTATAAATAATGCAATTTTGAGTACAGTCAACTAACTAGATGTGTAAAAATGATCAAACATCCATCATCTTATTGACACCGACAGTCACCAGACTCTGAATCGACGCTTCCGACTCACATGGAGCATTGGAAAATGATCCCCACTCGATGTCTTATTAATTCCATAGTGGCTGGTGACGTCTTATTAATTCCACGGTGGCTGGTGCAGATTAAGAGGACGAAAAATATACTAAAACCGTGAAAAGTGGTTCGATCCCCATTTATCTTACTATCATATTTTGTTAACAGATACCAACTGCCAACAGACTCCTTGTCGTAAGCTTACTCTCTCCGACTCGTCCAAAAACTCTTTAGCCTATCCATTGGTATTCATTTTCAACCACTCGCTAGTAGGTCATAGATGATGTCAGCCAATTACATTGAATGCTTATTAGATGATGCTTCGTGTCTAAGCTGGCTACACCACTTAGAGTTATTTTCTTATTAGACTTTCATCATCATAAGATGTTTTATTATGATCGATTCGATTATATCATTGTCATAAGAAGTTTCATGGCCGATTTGATCATTTTGTCAATTCGATCTCATTATTGTGTCGTAGGATGCTTGATGGTTGATTGTTGTCATCACATGTTAGTTCATGACTGATTTGATTGCATCATTAATGTATGATGCATCAATTGTGCTATCATGGTAGAATGCTTCATGGTCGATTCAATCACATTATTGTTAGAAGATACATCGATCGTGTTGATACAGGGATCGATTGCATAACGAATACTGTTTCGTGTGCAAAGTTTGTTAGTGCCCAGCCAAGATTTGATCGGTTGTGTTATGCATGTAATTTTAACACTGAAAAATTAGCATCCATCCTAGTTAAATAATGCATTTATGTTGAAGCGACTCTCAATTAAAGCAAAGATTTGGGTCTTAATCCATCAAATAAAATCGATCTTGAAGGTTGCAAACTGAAACCATTTCTACAAGCTCAATGCAATGTATCTTTCGCTCATAAAACATCGACTGCTGACTACCGCCAAAAAAAGACTTAAAAGAGCAACGAATAAAGAGTAAAGAAAAATACCGTTTCCAAATGAACAGAACCAGCGCAATAATCAACATCAAGAAACCAAAATACCAACAATTACAAGAATTCCGATATAAAAAAAATATTAAATAAAAAAACAAACATGAAATACGAAAATTGGATCCAGCATTTACCCTTGAAACACATCGGCCAAGGATCCCCTGTTTATGAGCTCTAGACAATTGAATCGGGCTTCGACGGTCGCAACCATAGCTACGGAATCCGACATGTAGAGGGCCGAACGACACCCACAAATAAACCTTGCTTCTCGTGCTAGAAGCCCGATCGTTGGGGCAGCCCTAACCCAGGCACTGCTCCTCGCTTCGATTCAAAGCGAAGGGCGGGTTCCGAGTCTCGAAAGGGATCTCTCTCTGTAAGGAAAAGATTGGGAGGTACTTGGAAGGTGAAACAAATCGGTCCAAGAAAAGAACTTGGAATGGGAAAGAGACGTCGTTCGAAGAAAAGACACCCCCTTTTGTGCTCGTTCACCCATAATTACCGCTCATTAACGAGCAAGGCTATATAAGTAATATCGTTAGTCATCGGTTCTTTTGTAATATTTATTTTAAGACATATTACGTATAATTGATCGCATATAACTCGTGCATTATATCTTCTGCTTAGCAAACCGAAGGCACATTGTTTCATCGGTCAAGAATGTTAATATAGCATGCCTTGTTAAAATGTCCAGGTCGAAGATACGAGCAAAATATATGAAGCAAGCTGATAAATCAACACATAATAAATCTGAAACTTAATATTGACTGACATAATAATGCTATTTTACGATATCTTGTCCCCTTCAAAATGTGAGCATCTTCCGCCCAACAAGAACGTGCTATGTCAGCTGATAAGCTAAAAAGATTTCATGGCACATGAAAACCTCTTGTATCAAAGAATATAAAGAATACAGCAGACATTCTTTCACCGAGTTTATGAACACATGCTCTTTAATCTTTGGATAGTAATGGCCAGTGATATAACAAAGCTTAAGTAATATGGGGTAACTTCATAAAAAATATGGCTCATGCAGCTCTGAGTGTGGATATTCATTCTGATTAGTAATTCTTATGGTACAACAGATACGTTTCAAAGAAAACACAAGTCGCTAGCTCTGGAAATTTTAGCTCGATTCACAAACCTTATTTATTGGGTCTGAGATACGTCCTTGGGCCCTTCCGCACACCTACCATGATGACTTGCTGCTGCTGTTTTGCCTTTTTCTCCCGTTCCCTCTCTTTGTTCAACTTATCTGCTTCGGCTTGCTCTTTTCTCAGATTCTCCATCTCCTCCTCCATTGCAGTCTTCTCTTCCTTCTGCTTCTTCTTGTGTTCAAGCATAGATGTATCGGAA